GACCGTAAAACTAACAAAGGCCATTATACTCTTTAATTTTTGACAAATAAAAAGTGGAAAGTCGATTTGCTAGTTGTCTGCACGGGTGCTGAGTAAAAGCGGACACATCTGACGAGATCTTGTCAGTTTTGAATGAACGGGTTCACTTTGATCTTGCAATTCCGAAGCCCTCAAAGATGGTGCGGTCGTTTGCCGAAGTGGTCAAGCATGGAGCCGTTAAGCGTGGCTTCGAGAAGTGCCGCATCCGTTCACTTCCTCAGAGGACAAAATGATCTCCCGATCATCCTTTATTAACTACCTATTCCATGCTCGCAAGGCATGCATCAAATCATCCTAAGCGACTCCGCTTCCTCAAATCCCACATTCCTAACCCTCAGACCCGATGATAATCAGGGAGACTTCTTCCTTTTTGCTGTTAATTGCCATAAATTTCATCCAACTATAGCCTAGATTCTAATTACTTTCTTGAATAATAATAATAATAGGGAGGGGCGAGCATAAGCTTACTTCATTTGACGCGTCACGAAGACCTTAATGCACTCGAGAACGGTGTCTAATGGAAGTGACTTCAACTCCTCGCCCCACGATGTGCGTGTCCATTTGAGGAACTGCCAAAACAAAAATAACTGCCGCCTTTGTGGAGAGCAAAAAGAGAAATTACAGGATTTAATTTGTTAAGTCTCTGATGCTTCGAGAGGCACCTCAAAATCTATCCTTCAGCATGGTGTGCTGCAGGACAAAATAAAGTAGACAGGTTTGGGATGTGGGAGGATGAGTTGGAAGGGAGGTTGCTTGTCTCAGGTTGACTACATAAAATGCATCTTAAGGCAACTACAGGAGCATTCGAACACAGAGTAAAAGGGTGCACCACATTGCCTTAACCTGCAATTTGATTGCTTGTCGTCTACGAAGGTGCTTGCGCCACCCTCGGGACCAACGACCGCAATAGCATTCTAATCAATCCTGACACAGGCAAATGTCTTCTTTTTTCCTTCACTTTTGGTCAGTAAGTCTTTAAGACTGGTATTTAGTAAAGAAAAGAAAAAAATGCTTAACCTCTTCGTATGGAATGCACAAGTCTCGACTCATTTGACGCAGTTCGGCGAGTGTAAACAACCCATCTTTATTGGAGTCGAATTCCAGCAGGAGCTGCTTCATCGCCAACTCCCTCGATGCCGCCGGACAGCCGGAATGGTGTGAGGTGGTGGCACTGAATTTAAACATACATTAAGACAATTTTACCGTTTCAAAAGTGTAAAGAATGGGGATGGCTCTCCAGTGTACTCTGAAGAGCAGCGAGATTCGCTTCAGTCACTCCAACTGATGCCTTTTGTGGTGCACCACTCGAAAAGGTGTCACATGCGGTGGACCGATTTGCCTCCTCATCGCATGTCGTGACACCGCACAGCCAACCTCCTCTCTTCACCTTATTCTCAGCCTAAACCAGGCCTCTAATAAACTAACACGACGTAAAATATACCAAATTTCCATTTAAATAGGGGTGGGAGGGGGGCGGTGATCTGTAGATTGTAGAGTTGCTTTCAAACAAATAAGTGTAAATTAGTTTTGAAAATCCGATTAATTTTAAAGAAAGGTTTACAAGCAAGGCGCAAAAAGGTTGTCGGTTAGGAGTTAGAAAGTTGTAAATGTTCACTGCCTACTCGAGGCATCTAGGCATCATGGAAGTGTCAAGTTTATCACAAAAAGTTATATAAAAATTTTGAAAAAAAATATTTTGCGAATCCGCGAGTCTACATGTGTGCGTCAACTAGAAGGTGATGTCAGTGAAGAAGCGAACAAAGTCAGTGAAGGCGATGCCACCATGCAGGCCCTTCAGTTGCATGATGGAGTGAATGATGGAGGCATTGGTGGACTTCCCCAACTCCCTCAGTGCTGCCTGAATCTCTTCGAGCTCTAGCACCCCTGAATTATTGGTGTCGAATTTATCGAAGGCTTCGCGCAGTCTAGTAATGCTGTAATCAGAAAATGCAATCGTGACCAATCGCTTCTAAAGA